ACTTTTTGTTGGGATTCAACAAATCTCTTATGCTGGGTGCTCACTCGCCGCCTGGCTCCGTCCGTGGCGCCCCCACCTAGGCCCCTGTGAACCGGGGCGCGCACGTTGGCGGGCAAATCGCACTACCTGGGCAGCTCCTGTGCCAGCTCCGAGGAGGAAGCCATCAAGCCCAGCTTATTCATGGCGACGGGCAGGCCCATGCGCTGCAGGTCCGTCGCCACAGACCGAAAGGAAGCTGCCAGTTCCCTCGTGATGACTGTCCCGCCACCAACTGCATGCAGCGAGACGTCATCAATGACGCTCTTAATGCACACTGTCGGGTTGCCGACCGTGGCCTTGCGCATAACTCCAAGCAACAGAAGCCTGGCAAACGTGGTGGCCCCCGTGCAACCTGCAATGACCGTGCCATTAGGCTGGATCACCCGACTGATCGCGCCCTGCCAAGTCACGCGCTTCGGGCCTCGATAAAGGCAACAGCACGCTCGCAGGAGCGCTATGGGAAATGAGCTAGCCTGGGCCGCTTCCAGCAGCCCCTCGTGCGAAATGTGTTCGTAAAATTTGCGCAGGTCAAGAAACAGTGTCGCCGTGGACAGGTCTGGGACGGCGCGCGCGTAAGCGTTCAGAGCATTGTGGACCCACGCACTCTTGTCGCAAGCCGTGCTCGAGCTGAGACCCCAGAAAAACGTCGCATCCACCTTTCGTTCCCAGGCCGCACAGAGCCTATGCCGAGTGCGGCTCCAGTCTCTGGCCCAGAGGGGAAGAAGCCCAATGGGCCTCACCCCTCCCGTGGTCTTGTCTAGAAAGACCACTAAGACCATCCAGAGCCCCCCCCCTCCCCCCCCCCCCACACACAGGGTGCTGCTCCCAAGCCGCGAGGATCCCCGCAAAGGCCTCAACCAGCGGCTTGGGGAGCTGAAGAAGGAGACGCGGGCTGAAGGAGTCCCAGCCCAGGGTCGCCGAGGGGCTAAGAGTAGCCGCCGCTTCAAGCACCTTTTCTGCCGTGGTCGGCGGCAGGTCCTCAAGGACCGACCACTCACTCGGGGGGCTTTCAGCGCCCCTCGCTGGATTGGTCCAAATCGGGATCCAATCTCGCAAAATGCGATCTAGTGCCGCCTGCCCTACAAGCGGCCTGGGCCCTCCCACTTGCTCAGTGAAATCACCATCATCCAGGACTGGCAAAGGAGGCTGAGCGGGGCCTTTGGAGTACCTGTGAGCCGCCCGACCTCCACGACCGACCGACGACTGAGCCCGCGATCTCCACTTTTTTCGGTTTTCCGCTGTCTCCTGCTGCACTCGACTGTCGACAACACGCTGGATGGCATTCACTGAGCCCCCACGACTGGGACCCTCTAGGACATGAAAAAGTTCATCCACCGACAGTCGCGCTAGCAGAGGTTCCTCAACCTCCTCCAGCAGGTCTTGCGGCGGCCTGGCCGAATCTAGCAGGCGCCTCCGTCGGACGTCAGTCGCCGCCTTCGTATACTGCAGGGTCAAACGTCTCAAAGGCAACCAACGCTGTGTACCAGGGAGGGAGCGCCTGTGCAGCTCCTAACCCCACGATGCCTCTAGCGGCGCTAACTGAACCTGGCAACCCTTGGCTCGGCCAAAATACTGCTTGTCGTCTAGCCGATGCATGCGGCCTAGCGCCGACCCCGCAGCATCAAATCACTGTTCCATTGCTGCGTGGGACGAGAGGGAAGCTCAATCAAAGAGGGGCGGCTGCTGGCTAGGGTCCCACTGCATGCGCGCCATCTCATCCTCATCCTTGGGCAGCGGAAAACTGCGAGGCACCACGCGCTGCCACACTTTGGCCTGTCCAGCCACCTGCCTCAGTTGGAGCACAACTGCAGAATGCGGCCCCACTGGTGTGTCAGGCTGCCCAATGCACTCCTTAACATGATATTCTAAACAGCGGCTGATCACAAGAAAGTCGTAGCAGTTACTGTGGCACGTCGCTCCTGGGCGCCTGACAACTGTCGCCCCGAGGTGGTCTGCCCATTGGGATGCGATCAGCTGCTCAGCATCAATGTTCCAGCCACCCCCGATGACAAACGGGCAGCCCGCCGAGGCCACGGCTTCGCTGAGCTCCTCTAGAAAAGGTGATGTTGGCGCCAGCGAGCCCAAGCGTGGTGTGGCCGTACATTGAGGCAACAAGGAACGGGAAAGACTGGTGCACCATGATCTTGACCATGCAGAGCCTCTCCGACCAGCAGCTCTGCCCGTGGCCGTTGCTGCCGACATGTGCATTACATAAGATAGCCGCCCCTCCAGACGTCTCACGGCGCCCTGCTCCCGTCCGCGCCGCCTCCGCGAACCATGACATGCATCCAGCTTTGTGACACCAACTGCGAGCCGCTTTGATCTGCTCGTGTTCCAATCTATGTTCCTGAAAAAGTAGGGCGTCATACACAGTCTCTTTCTCATTCCGAGCCCGTCCCATGTGACTCTGAGCCGTAGACCACGAGTTGCTGTTGTAGCTGACCAGCTGAAAATCCCATGTCGGAGGTGTGGGTGGAGGGCCGCTCCAACCTGGGGCCTTGACCACCTGCACGTCTGCAGCCCAGGGTGGAGGCTGGATCCGATCGAAGGCGCCGACCACCCGCACGTCTGCGGCATCGATCAAAGACCCGCTGCCGTCCTTTAGGGTCTGCCCTCCAGCGGGCTCCCCAGGGACCACCAGCCCCGAGACTCCTGCGCGCCATCGCCTCCACTGCGGTGAGGGGGCCAGGCCGCTCCACGCTGGGGCATCGACCACCTGCACGTCTGCCGCCCAGGGTGGGGGCTGAGTCTGATCGAAGGCATCGACCACCCGCGCGTCTGCGGCTTCGATCCGAGACCCGCTGCCTGCCTTTAGGGTCTGCCCTACCGCGGGCTCCCCAGGGACCTCCAGCCCCGAAGCACCAGCGCGCCACCGCCTCTCCTGCGGTGTGGGGGCAAGGCCGCTCCGACTTGGGGCATCGACCATCTGCACGTCTGCCGCCCAAGGTGGAGGCTGGATCCGATCGAAGGCATCGACCACCCGCACGTCTGCGGCATCGATCAACGATCCGCTGCCTGCCTTTAGGGTCTGCCCTTCCACGGGCTCCCCAGGGACCACTCGCCCCGAAAAACCAGCGCGCCACCGCCTCGCCCGCGGCGTGGGGGCTAGGCCGCTCCAACTTGGGGCATCGACCACCTGCACGTCTGCAGCCCAAGGTGGAGGCTGGATCCGATCGAAGGCATCGACCACCCGCACGTCTGCGGCATCGATCCAGGACCCGCTGCCTGCCTTTAGGGTCTGCCCTCCAACGGGCTCCCCCGGGGCCGCCAGTCCCGAAAAATCTGCGCGCCTCCTGCCTGACAGCTGGTCCCTGGAACAATCGTCTCCGTGAACCCTAAAGGCCCGACCCACCGCCTTCGGCCAACTTGGCTCTGGCCGCGTGGACAGCAGCTTGCAGCTCCTGGGTGCTGGGGGCGCGGGTTCCCCCTGTGGGTGTCGTGGCCGACCCAGGCCCTGCAGGTTCATCACCAGCAGCGGCAGCACCAGCCGCAGGAGGAGCCCCAGGTGCCGCTGGGGGTGGCGTTCCAGGCTGGGATGCTGCGGCGGCGCTGGTGCCATCGCCACTGTCCGATTGGCGGGCGCGCTTGGCCGACGGGCGCTTACGCATGTCTCTGGCTTCCGCCCTGAGCCGCTGAGTGTTGTCGGCACTGGGCCCGATGGCCGCCACGATTGCCTTCTGGATCTCGACCGCCATGTTATTCTTGAGGACAAGCCAACGCTGCTTGTCCTCGTCTTCGATCTCGAGCTCACTGAGGTCGAGAGACTCGCCATCCACGATCTCAACGCCATCGAAGCCACTCTCCTCCCCCAGCAGCTGCGATAGGTTGATCTGGGAACCCGTCGACACATGCACCGCCTCAGTCGGAGTCCCCGAACCAGGCGTCGAGCCACGGGCCTTCTGCAACTCGGTCCTGAGCTCCTCTTGCCAGGCCGTCTTGGCCTGCATCGCCCAGACAGCCGCCTCCTGGGTCCGCTGGCTGCACTCCGCCAGCCAGCGCCGCGCCTCATCCTCCTGGTGGACCGCTTGCTCCAAGGCCTTCTCCGCCCTCCTGCACGCCACGCCCTTTGCACTGATGGTCTCTTCCAACAGGGGCTGACGGGCTGGCTGCGCAGGCTCTGGCGGAGCCACCGCTTGGACCAGGGCCTGCAGCTCCTGCTCCCCTGCGTCCGCCTTGACATGCTGCTTGAGCTGCGTGAGGAGCTCCGCCACCGTCGGCTGCTTGCCCGCCCCTCGCTGCGGTGGGGCCGAGACCCGCGGTGCCTCCAGGCGGCTGGGGGCCCAGGTCCTTGGCAGGTGTGCGGGCCCTTTGCTGGCCACCTCCCTCCCCACCTGGCGACCAAACCCCTTCGGCCTGGCGCCACGGAGGCGGTGGCGCGGGGACCAGCGCATTGTCACAGGAAAAGCAGTGCTCTCGCGTCTTCCAGTTCCAGCGGTAGCGGCAACTTGAGCAAGAAAGGTGGCCCTTGGCGGCATCCTTGCCCATGGGCTCCTCCAGGAGCTCACCAGGAAAGGGGAGATGTTGCGCCCTTCAGGCACAGGGTACAATCGCGGAGTGGTGGCCGTGAGGCCTCGTGTGAAAACAGCCTGGACGCTGGCCCAGGGATCGCAGGTGGGGGCGCACCTCCCCCTTGCCAAACCTCAAGTCACTGAGCCTCCCGCTACGGACTTGAGCCAAAATGGCTACGGAGAGGAGGAGGAGGAGGGGGAGGAGGAGGAGGAGGAGGGGGAGGAGGAGGAGGAGGATTACCTCCTCCCCCTCCTCCTCCTCCTCCTTGATCGTCAAGCTCCAGGATCCTATCCCCAGCCGCGTCGCGGGAGGAGGAGGAGGAGGAGGAGGAGGAGGGGGAGGAGGAGGAGGGGGAGGAGGAGGAGGAGGAGGATTTCCTCCTCTCCCTCCTCCTCCTCCTCCTTGATCGTCAAGCTCCAGGATCCTATCCCCAGCCGCGTCGCTCGGCGGAGGCGAGACTGGCAAGCGAAGCGTACCGGGCGCCGCGGTCGCCGAACTGGGCGTCTCCCAGCAGGCCCCGGGGCGGGCCTGGGCCCTCATTGGGATTGGCCCGGCGGGGGCTCCGACGAGCTGCGGGGGGGGGGCAGAAGGACCAGGCTGGGCGAAGAGTTGACCCATCTCCCCCCCCACTTGTTTTTCCTTTTTGTTCCGGGCCCGGGCGGCCCAGATGGGGGATCAGCGCCAAGGTGGCCAGCTATAGGTCGCGAGATCGGCGCCAATGTCGTGCCGCGCGGCCTTCACATGTCGACCAGGCTTGAGAAATGCAGCAGACAGAACGGGAATCGGGAGGGGGGCCCCGTCGTGATTCTTCAGGCTGTTTCATCTCTTCGCGACATCGGATCTCAGGGATTCCCTCCGATCCCTCCTGGCCTTGCCGGGTTGGAGAATCACGTGGAGCCGATTCCCCCGTTTTCCGCATTCGCAGCAGACCGGGGGTTCTGTGAGGAAGAGGAGGAGAAGGAGGAGGAGGGGGAGGAGGAGGAGGAGGAGGAGCAGGAGGAGCAGGAGGAGGAGGAGGAGGAGGAAAAAGAGGAGGAAAAAAGGGAGGAAAAAGAGGAGGAGGAGGAAGAAGAAGAAGAAGAAGAAAAAGAAGAGGAAGAGGAATAATAATAAGAATAATAGTAAGAGAGGAGGAGGAGGAGGAGGAGGAGGAGGAGGAGGAGGAGGAGGAGGAGGAGGAGGAGGAGGGATAGGACCCGAGGGTGCAGCCTGATGTCTCCGCCGTCGCTCACAAAACCGCCGGCCCCGGTTCTGCGGGCCATGTCGCAGCAGGCTGGGGTTCGCGCCATGGCCTTGGCGGGCCCAGCCGACCTGGGCCAGCGCGTGCCCGACGACAAGGGGGGGGTGGACGGAAGGAGGGCTCAGGAGGGAGGAGGAGGAGGAGGAGGAGGAGGAGGAGGAAGGAGGAGGAGGAGGAGGGGGAGGAAGAGCAGGAGGAGGAGCAGGAGGAGGAGCGGGAGGAGGAGGAGCAGGAGCAGGAGGAGGAGTAGGAGGAGGAGGAGGGCGGGTCGCCTGAAAGCCCTTCGGAGAAGCCCTCCACGGAAGGAGGGCCCAGACTTCCGAGAGGGGGACCAGCTTGTGTTTTATCCCAGCGGTCGGTCGGCGCCCCACGGGGGGTGGTTCAGGAGGAGAAAAAACAGACACAATTAATCCTTGAGTCAGCGTCGAGTAGTGTCGATTTAGCGCCGGCTAGCGTCGGCTATCGTCGAGTCAGCGTCGAGTAGTGTCGATTTGGCGTCGACTAGCGTCGATTCGCAAGAGCCGAAAAGATAGTATTGGGAGTCTCCCACGAGTTGCCACCGAATTTACGGTAGGCTGGCACTGCGCCGACGCGGCGGCGACCGCGGCGCGGGCGTTTAAGCTTGAGCGCCCGCGTTGGGGTCGTCAAGGTCGCGCGATCCACCTGCGTCAACATGCTAGCGTCAACGCCATCGAGGGGATTCGTTCCTGACTTGGCTGTGCTCCCCCCTCCTCCTCCTAAAGCCGCCTCGGCCGCGCGTGACCCACGTGCTGGCGCTTAGAAGCAAAACTCCGGCTTCCCTCCTCAGGACTCCAGGACGGATGACGTTGGGATGTTCAAGGCTACAACCACTTAGACAGATTTCCCTTGCGGGATCTTGAAAAGAGCAGTGACGTGACGACTTGGGGCTCCAGCAAGAACACAGCTGGACAATTCAAGGTCTCGGCCGGCTCAGCCCAGTTGCGTTGTAATGTTTGATTCGTAAAGTTGCCAGGGAGTGAGTGGGCGGCACGAGAGGAGAGGGACACTAAGTCCAGAATGTGTACGCATCCACCGCCTGTGGAATCGGTCGTCTGAACTTGGGGAAGCGGTGGATGTGGATATCTTCGAGGCCTTTGGGGCCAAAACACATAGCATATCAATATCGATTGCCCCCTGGGATCCTGGGAGGTCGGTTGCCACGTCAGTGGGGATATGTAACTATAGTTTCTGGCCTCACAAGGATCGACTACACACGAGATTGGCTGATTGCGATGCGATAGCGGCGCACCAGAGGCCATCCGGATGGCCTCTGGTCCGCGGGTCTAGGACATCCGGGAAGACTGGCCATTCAGGCAAGGATGCATGCTGGCCGGAGTGGCCAGCCTTGCCTTTGGCAGGGAGGACGCAGAGGGGGGCAGGTGGGCTCGGACGACGTGGAGGTTGGGAAGGTCTGCTTCATTCAGCTGGTCTCGGCCCCGCCGCCAGGCGCCGTTCTCGATAGAAATTGGCTCTTCTGGTGCTGGAGGCGACGGGACCACCCCCTCACCCTCTCGTCCGACCCAGTTCCTGTGTGTGGCAGAAGTGGCTGGGAGAGGACAGAGGGATCGGGCGAGGTCAACTGTCCACCGCACCGATCCTGGCCGGGCGAATCCTGAGCCCAGGATTGGTGTCTTCGCCTTCGTGGACAGGCCAGGAGGGCATGCACCGTCGGAATCTGTGCGGAGGTCAGCTGACGTCCCCCGAAGAAAGGAGGCAGCCAAGGTAGTCAGCCAGTGGTTCGCGCCGCATCGCCGACGCCTCGGCGATGCGGCGCGAAAAGGAGCCCGTGCCTCCGCGTCCCAGAGTCTCCTCCTTCACCCTCCTCCTCCTCCTCCTCCTCCTCCGTCTCCTCCTCCTCCTCCTCCTCCTCCTCCTCCTCCTCCTCCTCCTCCTCCCAGAATCTCCAGTGCACCGGCCCTCGCCCCGAGCCGCGATCGCGGCGGTCGGCCGGGCCTCCGGAGGCACGCGGTCTGCGTGGTCCTGGCGGCCGTTCGCGGAGTGGACTGCGGTCGTCTGCTGGACCCGGCCAGCCCGGCCCCGCTCGAGGCGCCCGCCCCCGAGGGGGAGGGGAGAGCAACGGGTGGCACGGGGGGTGGGCAGCGCACGAGCGGGAGGAGTTGGAGTTGGAGTCCCTGGACGTAGTCCTTCCAACAGACACGAAGACCTCTTCTGGGCTTCACGAGCCAATTCAGCTTTACTGTAAACCTTGGGCCATTGCCCCAGACTGATCAATCGGAGATATTCCCTCCTCGTGGGTGTGGGTCGGGGGACGCAAACCTTGCCAAGGCCGAGGGCACGAGCGGGAGGAGGGGGAGGATGGATCGTGGAGGGAAGGGGCCCCCCCAGGAAGGAGCAGGGCTTGTCTCACAGTGACAATGTCGACCAGCCTGCACATGCAGCAGGACAATACCCTTCTGGAGCTCCGCAGGGAAGACGAACAGGCCGAAGAAGAGGCACAAGGCTTCGATGTCGTGGTAGACGTGGCGGTGCACTGTAGTTCCAGGCGCAAATGCACAAAAAGCGATCCCAGCGACATGCTCGTACCACGTGCCAGGACACACACCGATGGCCACATACAGCACTAAGCATACAGCAGAAAATGTTCCAGAAAAGCGAACTGCTCGAGCCACCTCTGAATTCGATGAAACGCCAACACCACGCAACGCTATGATCGACTTGCTGTGCACTCGCTCGTAGAGCACGAGAAGTAAGTGTCCAGGTCACAATGGATTACAAAACCGTCTTGGTATCGTTCCGAATGATCTCGCCGCAAGCGTTTCATTCCCAGTCAGGCTCCTACGAAAGGCCATCTATGGAATCTGGCCCAAAGGGCATTGGCAATGGTGCCTGCGGTCCTCGCAGAAGGTGACCATGTCCCAAACTGGTTTTGAAGATGGGGAGCATGAGACAGCACAATCCGGGGGCATCGACAGCATATTGTCCACCGACTGCACGGCATTCCCATGACTGCCAGCAGAAGCACCTCGAACAGGAAATTCAGCACATCGATGAGGAGTACGTTCCCCCGTGAAATGGGACGCGACGAACGGGGCCTCAAAAAGCCCATGGACGAGCACACCACGGTGCCGCGCGCGCATCGAAGGCCCGTCTCGATGTACCGTCACAGCCCATCGGCACCCGCCGGCCTGCCCCAGGAGCGCATTCAGCAGCCTCCACACGCAGCCCACGACCGCCGATGGAAGCCGCCACCTCGCCGCTCGAGAGGCACCGCCGCCGCTGCCGAGGACTGCTGCCGGCCGCGACCTCCGACGCCGCGGGCCCCAGGCGCGGCCCGTGCTGCACAGCACGCGGGGTGTGCACGCACGCCGTGGCCGGCGGCTCCACGCGCCCGTGCGGCTGCGTGGGGGCCGTGGGCTCGGTATAATTACCCTGCACCACCGCGGATCGGCGACGCCCTCCACGCAGAGCAGCAAGCCGAGGGCCTACTTCCAGCTCCCGCACGCGCGCCCGTGCCGCCGCCAGGCCAGAGTCGACTGCAGCCACCGCGCGCCACCTCGCAGCCGAGCGCTCCCGCACGGGAGCGCCCCTGCACCGTGGAGAGAGCGCTCTTCGTGGACGCCTGCCCGGACAAGAAACCTGACACGTGGGCTCCAGGGGGAGGGGGGCCAAAGAAGCAGTCATGAGCGCCCCTGGAGAACAGAGGACCCCCTCCCCTGGACACCAACCTCCCTCCGATGGCCCTGGGGAGGGCGCGTCCTCCCCAAGGGGGGGGAAGGGATTCGAACCGGCGGGGGGGGGGGGGGCCCTTCCGCTCCCCCTGTCCAAGGGAGGGGGTTCGATCCAGGGGGGGCGGGGTTCAAACCAGAGGGGGGGGGGAGCCTCCCCCCTGAGTTGCACAAGGCCGGGGGGCTCAAACCGGGGGGAGGAGGCCCCTCAGGACCCTCCCCTATCCAATTGGGGGAGGGGTTCGAACCTGGAGGGGGGGGGGCCCTTGAGTTGCAAGCGGGCGGGGGGTTGGAACCGAGGAGGCGCCCCCCCGTGAGTTGCAGGGGGGGGAGTTCGAAGCGGGTCCTTGTCTCCACCCACCACCTGTACGCGACGTCGTCGCCGTCGTCGTCGCCGCCGCCGTCGCCGTCGCCGCCGTCGCCATCGCCGTCGCCGTCGCCGCCGCCATCGCCGTTGCCGCCGCCGCCGACGCCGCTGCAGCCGCCGCCGCCGTCGTCGTCGTCGACGTCGTCGTCGTCGCCGTCGTCGTCGCCGCCGTCGCCGTCGTCGCCTTCGCCGACGCGGTCGTCGCCATCGCCGTCGCCTTCGTTGTCGCCGTCTCGCCGTCGCCGCCGCTGTCGCTGTCGCCGCCGCCGTCGTCGTGATTAGGCGTCGACGTCGTCGTCGCCGTCGCCGTCGCGGTTGTCGCCGTCGCCGTCGCCGTCGCCGTCGCCGTCGCCGTCGCCGTCGCCGTCGCCGCCGTCGCCGTCGCCTTCGCTGTCGCCGTCGCCGTCGCCGTCGATGGCGCCGCCGCTGCCGTTGCCTTCGACGCCGCCGTCGCCGTCGTCGTCGTCGTCGTCGTTGCTGCCCATCGTCGCCGTCGCCGGCGCCAGCGCTCGCCGTCGTCGGTTGCAAGCCAGGGGCCCCCCCCAGTTCGAACCCCCCCCCTTGAAACTCAGACGGGGGGGGCCCGGTGCGCGTCGTCGTCGTCATCGTCGCCCTCGCCGTTGCCTTCGCCGTCGCCGACGCCGTCGCCGTCACCATCGTCGTCGTCGTCGTCGTCGCTGCCCGGCGGCGCCGTCGCAGGCGCCGGCGCTCGCCGTCGTCGGTTCTGTTGCAGGGGCCCCCCCCCCAGTTCGAACCCCCCCCCTTGCAAACTATGGGGTGGGCCCCTGGGGCGCGTCGTCGTCGTCATCGTCGCTCTTGCCGTCGCCGTCGCCGCCGTCGCCATCGCCGTCGTCGACGTCGTCGTCGTCGCCGTCGCCATCGCCGCCGCCGTCGCTGTCGCCGTCGCCGTCGCCGTAGCCGTCGCCGGTCGCCGCCGCCGCCGCCGCCGCCGCCGCCGTCGTCGTCGTCGTCGTCGTCGTCGTCGTCGTCGTCGTCGTCGTCGTCGTTGTCGTCGTCGTCGTCATCGCTGCCCGACGGTTCTGGCGACGGCGCCAAGGGGGAGGAGTCCTTCCCCGGTTCGAAAACCCCTCCGTGCAATTCAGGGGGGGACCCCGTCTGTGCGCGTCTTCGTCGTCGCCGCCGTCGCTGTCGCTGTCGCCGTCGCCCTCGCTGTGTCCGTCGCCGTCGCCGTCGCCATCTTCGTCGCCGTCGCCTTCGCCGTCGCCGCAGCCGCCGCCGTCGTCGTCGTCGTCGTCGTCGTCGTCGTCGTTGTCGTCGTCGACGCTGCCCGACGGCGCTGGGCACCCCCACCCTCCTGCATCTCACGGTGGGGCCCCCCCGTTGTGATCAAGATCAGGGTCGATTTGATTACATAGGTCTGACATGGTATGGTCTACAGAGTTTACGGTGTGCATGTGTGTCTGAATCTGTGTGTGTGAATGTTTGTGTGGTTGCGAGAGTGAAGATGTTTGTATCGGTGTGCGTGTGTGTATGTGCATGTCGGCATGTGTATATGTGTACATGTGTACGTGTGCATGCGGATGCGTGCATGCGTGTTTGTGCATGTACATAAGTGCATCTGTGTACGTAAACATGAGCGTCTGTGTGAATGCTCGTGCATGCGTACGTGTGAGCGTGCACGTGTGTATGCATGCTTGTGTATACGTAACGTTTCCTCCCTCCCCGTCATAAGGCACTTAAGGCCACCAGCGTGCTCTTGTAATATATGTGTGTGCATGTGTGGGTATGCATGCGTGCGTCCGTATCTGCGTGTGTCTGTGAGTGTGTGTGGGTGTGTGTCTCTCTCTCTCTCTCTCTCTCTATCTCTCCTTCTTCTTCTTTTTGTTCTCTCTCTCTCTCTCTTTCTCCCCCTCTTTCTCTCCCTGCCGCTCCAGGGTTCACATCTGAGCATCTGAGTGGGGAGGGAGGAGGTCGAGGGAGAGGGAAGGGGAGAGACGAGATCTCCTGAACCGGTTTTGGACTGCCTCATTCCATCGTGGAGTTCCCACTGGTTGCTCAGGGGCCGCATTGGAGCCATTCTGGGCCATCTTGGAAGCTCTAGCCCCACTCGAGGAGCAACTCGTGCAGACCTGGGAGAAGCAGGAGAAGGTGGAGGGGGGGCGCTCGAGGAGTTCGGCCCCTCCATCATGCAAAAGATAGCCTCCTCGTTGTCGGCGTTAAGATGGAGTTCACTTTTATTTATGCGCGAGGGTTTTCTATCTAGTCTATTTCGGCTCTCCTCCCCTTCTTGTATTCCTCTCTCCTCCCTGTGGCCTCCTGGAAGCCTCTTCGGCCCTTCTTGTGAGCCTGGAGGCGGTCTCGGGGGCTGTTTTCGGAGGGAGCTCAACTTCTTAGTTCGGGGCGCCGTAGTCCAGATGCCTATACATGTGTGCACATTATCATGAGTAGGTCTAAACACATATGCATACACTATACACACGTATACATGCATATGCACATGCATGTGCATTTGCACAATACTTATTTAAATACACACACATGATAAAGATTTACATATCTATATATATATATATGTAAATATACATATATGTATGAATAGCCCCCCCGGCCTGGGCCGGCCCAGTCCGCAACAATTCTAATACGCTCGCTGATACCCGCCCGTTTCGTTTTCCAGAGGCGGCCCGGAGAGGCCAAGAGGGTGCCAAGACGAGCCAAGAGGGTTCCAAGAGGCCCCCAAGACGGCGCAAGAAGACCTCGAGTTTCCCAGTGCGGCCCAAAAAGCCCCCAAGACGCTCCAAGAAGGCACCCAGAGCACTCCCAAGAGGGCCTCAAGAGTCCAAAATCATTAAATTCCGATGGGGAAATTACATTCTTAGCATGTGCGCCTTTGCAGCTTTCACAGCTGTGAAGACGGTCTAAGAGGCTCACAAGACTCTCCCAAGAATGCCCCGGAGGATCCCATGAGGCCCCCTGGGCGGACCAAGAGGGCGCTTGTGCGGCCCAAGAGGTGCCCAAAACGGCCCAATTTGGCC